GACATGGTATGTAAAGCCCAATTAAAAGTAAGCCATGCCTTGGTTCAAAAAGCTTCTTTTTATGTCTTAATGGAAAATTAATATCATAGATATTCAGTGTATTGTGTAATTGATTTAAAGCATTGATAACTTACTTATGTTGTGCTTTATATTTTCAGAATATTTTTCAACAGACATTTCTCTCTCTTGCCCCTTTTCTAGTCTGGCAGCAACAGACTGCAATGGTTTTTTTTATTTGATGTTTTGGTGTATCACAAACATTTACAAATGTTGTACTTCATTGATGCATTTATTGGCCCATACAATTAAAGAAGTATTGGTTTGACCTCTTCATTTGACATACATGCTACTAGCTGACCATGATAAAAGTCTGTGGTCCCTGAGTCATTTAGTTGAGCAGGATTTGTGGTAGATGTTTAAATGCATCCTTTCTGAAAAATAGGATTTTTTTTTCTTAATAACACATTTTTTAACTCCCAGCATTTTGTATGCACTTAGTTTTTACATGTAGATATTTTACGAGTAGAAGTTATATTTATCATTCTAGAGTTTGAAGGATTTTCTTTTTCCTTTGTAAGAGATAGCCATTACCTTCTTGGAGGCACCTTTTGAGTACGCAAGAGAGAGAGCAATAAGAAAAGTTCCAGAGAACAATTTCCAAGTACAGGATAAGACTATTTCTAGGGTAGGCACGGTGGTTTATGTGTTCATTTGTTTGACACCTGTGCCTATTTGTTTGACACTTGCATTGGAGACATTCATGGTCACATATATTATTTGTGATGAGCCATCATTTTAAATTTTTTAATTGGATGAACTAGTTGGTACAGCTTTGAGGAAATGATTGAACAGATAGAGGGGCTATGTTCTAAGAATGCCTCATATGGCATATGTTATCATGAGATCATTGGGCCAATGAAGAAGCTTAGCACTATGGAGTGTCTAGAGCGGTGCTACAGAAGAAATACAATGCAAACAGCAAATGTGAGCCAAAGAAAGAAATTTTAGATTTTCTAGTAGCCACATTAAATGTTTTTAAAATAAAATTAATTTTAGTAATGTATTTTCTTTAACACAGTATATTCAGAATATCATTTCAACATATAATCAGTATGAACATGATTAATGTGGGGTTTTTTGGTATAAGCTTTTGAAATCCAGTGTGTATTTTATACTTGTGGCACATCTCAATTCAGATTAGCCACTTTTCTAGGGCTCTGTAACTACACATGGCTAGTGGCTACTGTATTGGACAGCTAAAGCCTAGAGCATTTGGTGAAATTGTGAAATTGTGATGATGCCAGGAAATTGGGGAAAGCATAAGAGGAGCAAATACGAATCTCTAAGATAGACGTTGTGCAGGTAATTCTACATGAAACGGTATCTGTATACTTTTTGGAAAGAGAAACTGGTGTGAAATGAAACTTCGATGATGGTGAAACCATTTGGAAGATGAGAACGGCAGAGATTCAAAAGAAAATGAAATTAGGAAATGGCAGAACTTGGCAATGGCTAATACTCTATAAGAAGGCCAAAATATAATAGTTGGTTATCTTTTTAAGAAAAAACATCTTTTTCATCTAAGGACTTTTTAGCTTAGGCTGTGTCATTACATAGCATGGAGAAGAGAGGTAGTTCTTGGATATTCATGATACCCTAGAGAAACCATTGAGATTACCAGATAAAATTGATTGCAGAGGAATAATGTGGATAGCAGGGTGGCATGGAGGATGATTTACGCTAATATAGTAGAGAGGAAGATGTAAAGGTAAATGATTGATTTTTATAAAGTAAGAACTGGACAAAGTTCTTGGTGACTTAAGAGCAAATGAAAGATTAGACAGAATTTATTGCTTTGACAGTGAGTAAGAGGACCTAGTGATAGGGACTTTGGTCACAGTATATAAGTGGGTAAGGGCTCATGTACTTAACTTTAATCCTGTCTTGACCACTTAACTTTGTATTTCTTGACAAGTTACAGTTATTCAAGTCTCAGTTTTTACATCCATAAAATAGACAGAAACAGTATCTACTTCATAGAATTACATGGATTAAATGAGATTATATATGTAGTGACCTTGACTAGTATGACACATCTTCCTGTTATTTCTCTTATTTTAGGGTATCCAGAGGGGGAAAAATAGAGTTACCATCAGGTTTTGTTTGAATACATGTTTAAGTAGTTTTCAGAGTTGAGCTTGGTGAAATCTCTTGATTAATAGTTGATGAAAATTTCTTTATACATAATTCCTATTAGGTGAAGAAAAAAGTTTCTGAGTCTCATTTTGTGATTGGTGTTAATAATGAAAATGAGAACAGAGGTCTGGGATTGAGTCTCAGCTCCACCATATGATGACGTAATCACTTCACCTCTCTGGATCTTAGTAGGACTTGACTTGAATATTTTTCAGACTGTGGTGTGAGAACCTCCGGCATTAGCATCGCTTTGGATGTTAGATAAAAATACAGATCTTGATCTGCATCTTAGGCCTACTGAATCAGTCTCTGAAAGTAGAGCCAAGGAAGTTTTATTTAACTTCAAATATGGCTGTTGCATATCATATCCAATTGGAGAACTACTAGAATGGATGATTCTAAGATCTGGTTTGGCTCAAGATGAATCTACTCACTGTACTAACAAATCTAGAGTAGGAGTTGGGTAGGAATAATAATACCTGTTCCTGTTTATACTGTAGTATTGTTGTGGGGATGGAATAAGACATTTTTAAGTTTGTAAAAGTAGATTTAAGTTAAAAGATATTTGAAGTTTAGACACCTGTAGATTATAATATCTAAAGGGCAGTGACTTTTCTGTACTAGGTGAATCTAGGTGGATCATAGTTCTCATTAAGTAGTTTTTGATGACAGATTTCCAGTCCACCAAATTATGAGCTTATTTTTATCTCTCATCCACATTTAATTATTTGCTTCTTTTAGTCATGTAGAGGTGAAGCAGGATTATAGACATTCAAACAAAGCTGCTTATTAAAAATGCAGAGCCTCCCCCCAATGGAAATAGAAAGGCTGCTTATTTAAAATGCAGAGCCCCAGATGAACAGTACACTTTGGGAGAATTTCAGTGGGTCTGGAATAGGCCTGGAAATCAGAATTTTGGCGATTTGGAGGTTATGCACTTTGAGAAACATTGCTCTGCTTCTTATTACCTCCAGAGACATAAATATGTAGGTACTGGCTACATAAAATGGGAATGGTATGCTTCCAGCTTGAAAATGAACATAAAAATATTGTACATCAGAACTCCACGTATGTTTGTGTATGTTTTCCATAGAAGCTCAAGATGATATTAGCACAGATGTCACAGGTCACAGCTGTTTAGTATTACAGAAAACATTTTTATAAAAAGATCATACGACATGGTAGCCTCTCAAAGCTTATACTTCTTTTAGCTGCAAAGTATAAACTTTGAGAGGCTGCCCTTTTAGGTTAGCTTCAGGGATCCAGAAATATTACCATCCATTAGAGAAAATTCTTTAAGATTATGTGGCAAAATAAAGAGGGAAGCAGAAATAGAATAGACAGTGTACTTCTGTTAGGAAAACGTACTTATATAAAGAATAACTATTGAGCTTCATTGTGTGCCTAGTACTGTGCTCTTGGAAGCATCTTCTGCAGCACTAGTGTCCACCTCTTAACAGCATTAAATGATACTGGCATTGCCTTCATTCCATTCAATCCTCAGTTTTTGGTCCTCTTGCCTCTTTTTCATTTAAATAATCTACTCATTGTTATTCTGTTCTTGTAATTTGTCTCATTTTTTTGGCCTCCCTGACTTCTTGCTTTTCTTTTTTATTGTATAGTATAATTACAAAATGAATAAAATAGCTTCTAAGAGAAAATATAAAATAAAAAGTGAGCAAAAAATAAAATCCTGTTTTCTTTATACCAGCGCTGTTGCCTTTTCTGTTAGGTATTTACTCCAAAATCATGTGTTGAGGCATATACCTGCTCCTTGCGGCATATACCTCCTCCTTGCGGCATATACCTCCTCCTTGCGGCATATACCTCAGCCTTGAGGTTGAGATATATGCCATAAATTGCTTATTTATATTTTCAAAAAGCTAATATTAAAGGCTGAGATCTTGGACTGTGTGGCACCTAGGGACATAATTCTCATCAGCCTATCACTGTCATTCACTTCATCAAACTTACAAGGCTTTTCGCACCCTTAGAAATGAAAGTTCCTCTTGGGCTCTTTCATTGCAGTGGTCTTCTTAATTTTTTTCTAAAAAGCAGAATTGTTCTTCACTAGAAATTGGGGAAGGTGGATGAAAGTGATAAACAAGACGAGAATATGTGAGTTCTACTAGGAATTGGTCTTCAAATTTAGTGGAAGGTCAGGGATTAGAATTGGTGACTCCTGACTCATCCACCGGCCAGCTACTTAAATTGAGAGCAATTCTGATGGATACAGTTGTTCTCCCTGTCCTTTCAACTACATTTTGTCTTCTTTTCTTCTTTTGTGTTGCTCCTGTCCCTTCCCCATATCCTCAGTGCACAGATAGACCACTGAGTTTGAAAAGGGGTAACTGGTAGCCTTCTTATTAAAACTCCTGTGTCTCTCTATTACTTTCTTCTACACAACGTCTTGATCTCAGGATTTCATGTTCTGTGTAGACCTGAACCTAAAAATTGGCCAGCAGTGGCCTTATCTCGTTTTTGGCACTCCAAAAGCAGTTTTTAACGTGTAGAAAAGTGCCCTATTATTTAAACTTCTTTGAATCTTATTGTGGTATCTTTCAGAGGCCCACTAGTAAGAATTTCTTGTCTTATCTTTAAATGTTTCACTAATAGAAGACTAGGAGCAGTTCCCAATAATTATTATAGTTCTGTGGATCTTTGTTTTTTAAGAGAATGATGGATATAAACATTTCTCTGTGTGAGGATATGAAAGAAACAGGGGGATGACATTCAGGATAGGCTAACAAAAGTCACAGAGTTTTTTCCAAGATATTTGTTTTATTAAAACATAAGCAAGGTGCTTGCTTTAGCAGCATATATACTAATACTGGAATGATAGAGAAAATATTAGTATGGCCCTGGTCAAGGATGCCTTAGAAATTCATGAAGAACATAAGCAAGGATATATCCCCTTGTTAATTTAACTCTCTTCCACTATTGAATTTAAAAGCAAGGAGTTTAACTTTATTTACTATTCCCTAGTTCTACTTTTCCTGAACAAAAAATTCCGTTTACTCTTTGCTTAGTCGTTTTTCTTATTTCATTAGTTCATATAGATAGTAAAACTTATCAGTCATTGATTATTGTTGAAGTAAACATGACCTTTCAAGTGAAAGTTGTTAGTGAAATTGATAAAATTTGTAAACCAAATAAGAGTAATATGCTTTACAGATGTTTATGTGAAAGCTTTCTGTTTCTGTAGGGGGCTAGGCTAGACTGTGTTCATGTTCTATGGCTGTGTCTTATCCGTGATCTGCTACAACTTTGATCCTTGCTTAAAACTTTACATTTATCATGTGCTTTTTTTACTCTTTGAAAACTGTATTTCACAATTACGGCCTATACAGAGAAATTTGAATACTTAGAGTAAAAGCTGTTGCCTGTAGTATGTGATTTTTTTTCCCCACTAAATTATGAGGGCAAAAGCTGTTGAGCTACTATTAATATAATTCTTTGTGGTAATTAACATAGGACAGAATTGTCTTTTTGTTAGATTTTAGGCAATGTTAATATAGCAAGACTATGAAAGTGTCAGAGAAAAGTTTTTCTTTTGGTTTACAAGACAATTAAGCAAGATTTGGAGGAAATGTTTTTTAATTGTAAACATGAAAGATTTAGATTAAATATACTTTGTAATATTAACTAAAAACATGTGTGAGTCTGATTTTATTATTCCTGCTCTACTCTTTTATAGTAAACCAATATTGAAAACAACTTTAGTGATTGTTGAAAAGTGTTGGATTGAGGTATTTACCTTTAAAGTGGACAGACATGACTTTTACAAATAAGACTTTTACTTTTTTTTTTTTTAATTAAGAAAGAGGCCAGGAACTATGAACTAGATTTAGATATTTGATTTAGAATGTTTATCTCAAATTTTTGGTCGACTTTTCTCTGAGTTTGAGGGAAGACTGCTCTTGTTTTGTGTTACAGTGACTTAGAGATTTTTAGAGAAAGGTTACTGAAGTCTTTCCTAGGCTGGACATAGTGGCTCATGGTTGTAATTTCAGCACTTCAGGAGGCAGAGGTGGGTGCATTGTATTGCTTGAGCCCAGAAGTTTGAGACTAGTTTGGGCAACATGGCAAAACCCTGTCTCTACAAAAAAAATACAAATATATATATATATATATATATATATATATATATATATATATATATATTTGTTAACTAGTGTGGTGGCAGCTACCTGTAGTCTCAGCTGTTTGGAAAGCTGGGATGGGAAGATCAGATAAGCCCAGGAGGTTAAGGCTGCAAGAAACCCCGTTACCATGCCACTGCACTCCAGCCCAGGTGACAGAAAGAGACATAGGCTGTTTCTTTAAAAGAAACACAAGTCTTGTCTCTTTTTGGAGGAAGAGGTAATAGTTACAGAAAAATCATATAAGCTTAACTGATTATTTTAATTTTTTAAGAGTTTAGAGATTAGTGTAACAGTTTCTTGGGAGTATACCATATGGTAAATGTATGTTTTTCAAACTTACTAAATGCAATTAAACTGCTTTCAGTGGTTTAAGAAGTATTTGCAAATTAGAGATGTTATTTTGGTTTTATTCATTTCATGAACTGGTGATAACTGTTTTTCAACTTTGTCTTATTCTGTTTTGTCTTGTTATTACAGAATACCTGAGAGAAGGTAATTTATAAAGGATAGAAATTTCTTCTCTTATAATTCTGGAGACTGGGAAGTCCAAGATGAAGGCAAAGACATCTGGTGTGGGTCTTTTTACTGTGTCCTCGCAGGGCAGAGGGCAGAAGGACAAGAGACAGCCCACTCCTAAAAAGTCTTGTTTCTTTAAAAAGGGATTAATGCCCTTTTTGTAATGGCATTACTCTCTGACCTAAACACCACCCATTAGGCCCCACCTCTTAGTATCGGTACATTGGCAGTTAAATTTCCACATAAATTTTTGACAGGATAAACATTTAAACCATAGAAAACTTGCTCAAGCAGTTTCTCAGTGTTTTACTCCATTATCTCACTCATTAAAAGGAAGTTAGGGATGGGGAGAAAGTGGTAAAAAGAATGTATTAAGGCCTGAGATAGTTTGAGAGTGTCCACTTGTCTGATGTGAATTGAGGCTAAAGAAGAGCCAGATTTTGGAAAGGCTGATTTGTGAAAGATTTGGATTTTAAGGCCAAGGGTAGTGGGAAACCATTGAATGGCTTTAAGTTGGGGTAGTGATTTGACTTTGTTTGCTTTAGTAAATGTTTGACTTCTGGATGAACTGATTGGATGGAATAAAGTGGAAGCCGGGAAACCAGTTAAGGAGGCTGTTGCTGTAGTCCAGTGAGAGATGTTGGTGACTTGCCTTAATAATCTTCCGGTGACACTCACGTTCTTTAGAAAACTAGCTTAGATTTTCTAATTCTAATGATTTATGCCTTAAACCTCTTCCCTGATGTTCTTTTTAAAAATTATCTTTACATTTTTATTTGACAAGTTAGATAACATGGTTTTATTGTTTTATTAAGAGTGCTAGTATCAATGGGTGATTTCTTTATACCTAGTATGAATTCCTTTATAGAGGGTTTATTTACTTTCCAAGGTATCATTACTACCTACCAATGAGAAGCTTTTATGGCTACTGCTCTGTATTATCAAGGAGTGATAACTGGTAAGCATTTTTTAATTTTTGAAATTTTTTTATAGCAGGTTTTTGCTGTGTTGAACTCCCGGGAGTAATCCTTGCACCTCTGCCTCCCAAAGTATTGGGATTACAGGCGTGAGCCACTGTGCCTGGCCCCAGTAAACATTTTTAAATGCCAGCTCAGGATACTTCACTCAGTTTTTATATTTCTTTATTTATCTTTTTATTTTCTAAATTCAATTTTAAGACAAAAATCTACTTTTTTCAGAGGCATTTACATGATTTTGAAAATAATAAAGTACAGTGATAAAGATGCATACTTGAAATTCTCTGTCTTTATGATCTTTTGGTTACTTATCATTCCTTCCTTCTCTCTTACCTTTCAGGATAAATTAAAATAGGACTTAGTTGAGTTTCGGAAGCACTAAAAGATGTGTGAGTTTCTTTTACTTTCTACTTTTAATGTCCTTTGAAAATTAAGCTTCTCATTTTTCTCTTCCTCCCAAGAAGTTAGAGATTTCTTAAACTTTGGAATTAGTTTCTTTTTTACTATTTCTGCTTAGTGCCTGGGTGTCAAAGTGCCTGGTAGCTAGTACGCCAGCTTAGATATTTGTTGAATGCAGAAGACGCCGTACCTGTGTGAAAGGCATAGTGTCCTCTAAGATTTCTTGTAGCATGTCACCACAATAGATTTCAAAGTGTCCTGCCCAGGGGTGGAAGGGTTAGAAAGGGTAAACTTTTCTCATTCTGAAGGGGAAAACATTAGACTCCTATTTTTCCTCTGTTTACTGGAAATCTGTCCTTTTATAATATTGTAAGAAGCTTACTTATGTTGGTTAAAATTAGAAGAAAGCAGATCTTTTCTTACAACCATTGCCCCTGTCGCCTTTTTAATTATTAAAAAGGCACAGGGAAGTTGAGATCTGGAAAATTTACAGGTTTGTATGACCTGTCCTAGCAAAGTAGTCCTAAATGTGGTCCCAGATGCTACTCAATTGAATGATAAATGTGAAATTTTGTAATTTGCTCTTTTCCTGATTCCTGTTATTCTATATATACTTTTTGTATACAGGAAAGTGAAGTTCTTTGGTAGTTGATTTTAAAATCAATGCCTTTATTCTGGGCTACCAACTGAATAATAATTTGAAGTATATTTCTGCCCAATAAGATATCAAGTCATTCCTTAAGAGTGTTAGAGCAGTTACCTTTAAAGATGAAATGCTTCTTGATTCTGATGCCTTCACATTGTATTTTTTCTGCCTGTACATCAGTGTATCTGTGCCTTGAAATATTTTTTTTTTCTTTTAGATCTTTTTGGAGAAAACCTAATAGATGTCTAGTTATTTAGTTTAGTAATGAATGCGGTTAGTTAGCATCTTTTTTTTTTTTTCTTCCTCTCAAGAAGGTAGTGCTTAGTTGGGTTTGTTTGTTTGTTTATTTGTTTGTTTTTAAGACAAAGTCTTGCTCTGTCACCCAGACTGGACTGGCTCAATGCAACCCCCACCTCTTGGGTTCAAGCGTACTCATGCCTCAACCTCCCATGTAGCTGGGATTACAGGCATACAACACCATGCTCAACTCATTTTTTATATTTTTAGTAGAGACAGGGTTTCACCTTGTTGGCCGGGCTAGTCTTGAGCTCCTGACGTCAACTGATCCACCCATCTTGGCCTCCCAAAGTGCCGGGATTACTGGTGTGAGCCACTGTGCCTAGCCTTTTTTTTTTTTTTTCCTTTCCCTTTCCCTGTTCCCCTTTTCCCCTTTCTCCCTTTTCCCCCTTTCTCCCTTTCCCTTTCCCTTTCCTTTGCCTAAAATACCGCATTGCAAATAAAGAAATTTGTTTTGAAAATTTATCCCTTCTTCATATATCTAACTTGTCTTTCAGAAGTCTTAAGAACTTCTTGAGAGGATAGGAAAAAAAAGATGCCAACTAACCTGCATTTAAATACTAAGATAAATAACAACAAGCCCTGGGTAGAGAATCTCTGTATTTAAATAAAAGTTTAAGAAATGAGGCCCCCTAAACATTTTGTTAATACAAAAATGTGCCGTTTGTATTGAACTGGGTCTACAATTTAAGTGAATTAAGAAACTGTCAAGAATTTTTTTAAGAGTGGCTGCTTGTCTCTTTAAGGAAATTCTACCGTTACAAATGTGCCGCTTTCTTTGGGACTCTAAAGCTTTTATGTTGAGGCATTTTAAGAAGAGATTTGAGAAATTTCGTTGTTCAAATCTTGGTCTCTTATTTGGAGCCATGTGGGGATAATTAGTCATTTAAGTGTTAACAATATCAAAATATATTGTAGGTGCTTGCCTT